TTATTCTTTACAACTTGCTATATCTAAAATTTCTCTCGACCAGAACCCTGAGATGAATACGGAATTTATGATTTCGCATAAAATTGAATATAAATGTTCGATTTTCTTGTAATTTTGTCCATAGCAATATTAGTATCTGTATTAGATGAAGTATGAAAATGGAATACTTCGGTCGACTATATCTGGTACCTCAGGCATATTTTGACATTTTCTAAAAATTATTACCAATCTTATATAAAGTGAAGGAAGTAGTCGATATAGTCCAAACCTGGCACGTCGTAATATTTATAACATATTTATTTAGGTCGATACGAAATGGACAATACTGGCCCATTCCTTCGGAGCCTACTCCATAGAGGGTCAACAATTTGAACAATCATAACAGAAGTCAAAATATATTTGAATAATCGAACATTGGCTGAGGGTATACATCTGTATACCCAGCTGATACTTTTCAACTTGTAATTTTGAAAATCAAAAGCTATTTTTTTATTTTTTAAAAAGATATTTGAATTTCGCTTAGCTTCTTTTTGTTTTGTCAAATCAGCTGATTGTATGTTGCCTGTTTCCTTTATACAGTTCACTGACAAAAGAGAACAAAACTACCTTACTCTCTGAGAAAGGAGTTGCCAGGAATTTCTTGTAGGAAGACTTAACAGACAGACCTATTGTTAAAAGGCAGAAGTAAGACGACTGACTTCACAAAGTGGGCGTCTATATCTTCCTGTTTCACATGTGGGACGAGGAAACCAATAATCTCCAGAGGAACTTGTTTTAAATGAAAATAAAGCAAAACTTATTGGCAAGATCAAAGTTATTGCCTTACGCACAATTGGCATTGTTGGTAGCAGGCATGTATTGGGGTGTCCAAGATTTTTTTTTTAATTTATTAATCTTAATCATACAACCCCAAGCTTCCTACATACCCCGATTCTACACTCCAATCGCTCCTCTGTTCGATTTTTCGAACAGTGAAAACACCATTATTCAAAAAAGAGTTTTGTTTTTCAAAAATCTTGAACCCTTTGTGGGGGAAGTACCAGAAGAAACGGTCCGATCTGTATCATCTTTATAACAGATCTCGTGTTGATGGAAATATTGAGATGTACAAAAAGAGAATGCAATCGGATGTTAATTTCGCGTGTTACGACCTTTTTTGGTACCAGAATTTTTTGAGGTACCAGAAGGAGTGGATGATATATTCCATCTTCACATCAGAAATATTAGAAATAATGAGATGTGTGAAATTTGAAGAGAACCAGATGCTTATTTTGGATTATATGGTCGTTTTGGTAATTCAAAATTTTCACACTTTTTTTGGGGAGGTATCAGAAGAAGTGGTCCGATCTCTTCCATTTTTATAACAGATCTTGGGTAGATAGAAATATTGAAATTTGCCAAGTCTGAATGGAATTGGATGTTAATTTCGTGTAATAAGAGCTTCATGGACATTCAAAACTTTGACCCTTTGTGGGCAAGGTACCACAAGGAGTGGACCGATACATTTCATCTTCACACCTTACCTTGGGTTAGTAAAAATATTGGGATGTGTGTAATTGGCACGCCTATTTCTGATGGAAATATTAGGATTTGCAAAGTTGGAGCAAAATCGAATAATAATTTCACTTTCATTTGTGGGGAGGTGCCAAAAGGAGCTGACCGATATTGTCCATCTCCGAATTTGATCTAAGATTTATAATAATGCTACGATGAAGCGAATTTGGACTAAATCGGATCTTCTCTTTGAGAATTGTCGTGCGCAACAGCCAGCCAGACAAGCGGACGGATATTGCTAGATCGACTCTAAATGTCCTGAAACTGATTTGGTCCAAAGAGACCTAGGTTCTAAAACTGTTATTTCGACGTGGCACGTTTTGACCGTATCAAATGATATATACCTTCTCCAGCCCTATGGCTGAGGGTATAATGATCAGAAATTATTGCCAATATTTGTAATCGATACACTAAATTAAACTAGTAAAAAAGCAGTAAGTTAGGCCGGGCCGACCTTTGAATACCCTCCACCATATGGAAAGAAATTAACAAATTTAAAAAAAAAAAAAATCCGTAAAAAAATTTTGTTAAAATCTTGAAAGACTGAATATAGCCGTTATTCCTAGTAGGAACTCAAATATGAAATTTGATACAATTTCGGTAAATATTATACCTAAAATCGTCAAAATACCGAATATAGGGAAGTACTGATATATGGAGCCTATACGAAGACCTGGACCTGCATAGACAATTTTTTGCCATTGACTGTAGTTCCCATTACGAATTCTAAATACGAATTTTGAAACAACTCCGGTGAATAGTGTCCCTAAAATGACGAATATTGAGAGGTACGGTTATAAGGAGGCTATACGAAGACGCTGGCCTGCATGTGCAATCTTTTGTCATAGGCTGCAGTACCCATTACGATTTCTAAATAGAAAATTTGAAACAACTCCGGTGAATAATCTTCCTAAAATCATCAAAATACCGAATATCGGGAGATACCGTTATATGGAGGCTATACGAAGACGTTGGCCCGCATGTGCAATTTTTTATCATAGGCTGTAGTACATATTACGAATTCTAAATACGAATTTTGAAACAACTCTGGTGAATAATCTTCCTAAAATCGTCAACATATCGAATATCGGGGTGTACTGTTATATGGAGGCTATACGAAGACGTGGACCTGCATACACAATATTTTCCTTTAGGCTGTAGTACCCATTACGAATTCTAAATACGAATTTTGAAAAAACTCCAGTGAAAAGTGTCCCTAAAATCATTAAAATGCCGAGTATCGGAAGATACCGTTATATGGAAACTATACGAAGATGATGGTCTGCATGTGCAATTTTTTTGTCATAGGTTGTAGTACCCATTACGAACTTTAAATAGGAAATTTGAAACAACTCCGGTGAATAATCTTCCTAAAATCGTCAAAATACCGAATTTCGGAAGGTACCGTTGTATGTGGGCTATACGATATCGTGGACCTACATTGACATTTCCCTTCCAGGGAGTAAAGTGCCTGGAAAGAACTTCTTGTATGGATTTTTAGGCAATTCCATTGAAAAATATGGGTAATATCATTAAAATACCGAATATAGGGAGGTACCGTTATATGGTGAATATACGATATACGATCGTGGACCTATATAGACAATTTTCTTGCAGAGAGTAAAGTACCCACAAAAGACTCCATGTGAAGAATTTCAGACAATTCCATTGGAAAATGTGGGGTACCGTTGTATGGGGGCTGTACGATAATGTGGACCTTCTAGGGGATAAAGGGATAAAGTAATCAAAACGATCTTGTTGTGTAGAATTTGAAACAATTCCATTGAAAAATGTGGCTAAAATTATCGAAAACCCGAATATCTATACGATATCGTTCGATGAGTTACAAACGAAATGACGAACTTAATATACCCTCCATACTCTGTATGGTGGAGGGTATAAAAAGCATGGTTGGAATGCACAAGCGTAACTGTGTAAACTCGACTGTTCAAAATTTCGAACTCTGGTATCTGGAAAAACGTAGAAATTTTTTTAATTAATTTTAGACATCCAAATTACTCTAAAAAGTAAATTTTTTCTAAAACGAAAATTAAATCTCGGAACTAAATGGCTTAATCATCTAAATGGGTTAATCTTACACCCAATTCATTAGTACCGGCCTGTGTGTATTAGGGTGTCCCGAAAAAACGCATTTCTGGTTTACCAATCAAAATTAATCATTTAACCATGAATTGATTTCAAGGTAGACAAATATTTGAGGCAAAATGTGTTTGAGTCAAGAGAAGACTACCATTTGTTATATCTCTCTCTGGCTCTTATCAGCTGTGACAACAGCAGCAACAAAAATACTAAAGTCAAACAAAAAAAGTTATAGCTTTCTGTTCTAGGTTTTTTTTGTGTCTTGCTGATAAAGCAAATATGTTCTACATTTGCTGTTGTTTTGACGTTCTTGTTGTTGTTGGTTTTTGTCATTATTATTAAAAAACAAAAATAATAACAATAATAATATTGCAACACCACCTTTCTGGTTTTGCTCACCAGAAAGTCACGAAGTGAGAAATTAAAGTTAGGCCTCGTGCAGAGGAGTACAAGTTTTGTTGTTTTTTATAATCTCCACCTTAAAAAGGAGGGTATATTAACATTGTCATTCCGTTTGTAACACCCATAAATATTCGTCGTAGACCCCTTAAAGTATATATATTCATGATCAGTATAAAATTCTAAGTGGATTTAACGATGTCCGTCAGTCAGTCTGTCCGTTGAAATCTCGATACAGCCCACATTATTTGACGTAGAGCTTCAAAATTTCCCAGAACAATTTGTATTATGTCTAGTTTGGTTGGTATTGAAAATGAAATATATCGGTTCATGTTTTCGTATATCCGCCATATAACGATACCTCCCGACATTCGGTATTTCGATGATTTCAGCGACATTATTCAGCGGAATTGTTTCGAATTTGGTATTTGAGGTTTGTCATGGATACTACAGCCTATGACAGAAAATTGTCTGAGCAGGTCCACGTCTTCGTATAGCCCCCATATAATGGTACATCCCTATATCCGGTATTTTGATCATTTTAGCGACATTATTCACCGGAATTGTTTCAAATTTGGTATTTGAAGTTCATCATGGATACTACAGCCTGTGACAGTAAATTGTATGTGCAGGTCCACGTTTTGGTATGGCCCCATATAATGGTACCTCCCTATATCCGGTATTTTTATGATTTTAGCGATTTTTTTCAAGTCTCGCATTTGAATATTATGATAAAAGTTGACTATGCAGGTCCACGTCGCCGTATTTTTAATGGCTTTTATTTTTTGAAAATTGCAAAATTCGTTCCAAATGATGGAGGGTATTCAAGGTTCGGCCTGGCCGAACTTACAGCTTATTTACTTGTTTTTTTATTTTTTTTTTTCAATATTTTTTTTTTTCATTCTCATTTATTGTGACTTTCCACATGAAATTGAATACGATCGAAGAGGCAAACTGCCAGTTAATAGTTTCGGTTTAAGTGTAACGTGTCGCATTTTTTCGGTGTCGTCGTTGAGGAGGAGAAGAAAAAAAAAACAAAACCTTAAAAAACGTGTGGTGCAAAAGTTTTCCCAAGCCGATAATATTGAATGAATCAATTTGAAAATTTGTCAATACGTCTATTTTTTCCACATACCACAGTATTTTGTTGCGTTTCGGTTACAATGATATTTAATATCAATTACCGCAACAAAATGGCCAAAGTGAGGTGATATATATTTTTTATTAATGATTTTTTTGCTAATATATAAAATTAAAAAAGAAAAAAAAAACATATTGAAAAAAGTGCAAAAAATGCAATGAGAAACTCGCATAAATATTTTGAAATCAAGTTAATTTCACAAACATTTATCACTCATTTGAAATGTGATAAGATTTAATCAATTGACAACAAAATGATATGATTATTTAAAATTAATACAAATAACCAACAAATGAGGCAAATTATTTAAATATTATATAGATTGCTAAATATATTAGTTGGTGCAAATAGCTGTCATTGTTTGTTTCAATTTTGGTAAATAAAAATAATACCGAAGTGATCTAAAAAAATGGCGAAAATTAAAGTGTTAAAAAAGCAATCAATTTTTATTCATGGATAGCTTTGTACGTATGTATCTGAAAAGTGAAAGAATATGGAATTAAAAGGATAGGCATTTAAAGATATTTTTTTTCCAAGGACCATATAGGATATTAATGTTGAGTTTTAAACAATATTTTTTTAATTTTTTTTGTTTTAAAGAAAAGGGTATAAATGTGGAATTTTAAGGACCATCAAAATTATAAAACTAAAATTTTTAAAAGAATATTTTTGCAAGGAACATCTAAGCTAAAAACGTGGATTTTTAAAAATATTTGTTGAAGAAACATACGAGGATTAAATGTGGATTTATGAAGGACGTCCTTTCAAGGTTACTCCAGGCTAAGAATGTGAACATCGAAGAATTATTTTTTAAGAATTATTTATACTATCTACCAACCTATTTGGAATTGGAAATTTATAAAAAAAAAATATTTTTACAAATATTTAACGTCGATTTAAAAAACAAAATGGAAGAGGATTTTTAGAGAGCAAGTGCTAGCTGCTTCATCAGGGAAAAGTCCAGATTATCCTTTCTCTTTCTGTGCAGTAAAATACTTTTTTTTTTGAAAATTTTGACCTTTTATTGCCCATCTCCGAACTCAATCTAAGTTTGATAACAATATTACGATTTACCAAGTTTGGACCAAATCGGATACTCCCTTCGGGAGTTATCGAGCGCACCAGCCAGACAGACAGACGGACGCTAGATCGACTCCAAATATCCTGAAGGGGGTTTCGTCCAAAGAGACCGTGGGCCCAAAACCGTTTTTCAAAGAGGCACGATTTGGCCGAATCAATTGATATACAGGGTGAGATAAAAAAACTGCAACAAAGACAAACGCCATTATTGTTACATTTTTTTAAATTTTTTTGAATGAAAGCAAAAAATGTCGGAAATAGCATCAAATTTTAGAATAAGTTTAGATTTGTACGAATTGGTCACCTTTGGCACGATTTATGACCTTCAAACGGCCAATGGAACCGTGACACGCTGCCCAAATGTAGCTCTGCAGTATTTTGGCCCATTCTTAGCGAAGCGCTTGCTAGAGGTGATCGACACATTGATATTTTCTAATGTCAATCTTGCGTTCCAAAATACTCCAGACACAATAGTCCAACGAATTGATATCCAGTAATTTTGGTGGCCATTGTGCGCTGGAAATGAAGCGAGGAACCTCATTTTGTAACCATTCTTGGGTAACGCGTGCTGAGTGCGATGGTGCTAAGTCCTTTTGGAATGTTCAAGGTCTGCGGCCAAAATGTTTGCGTGCCCAAGGCTTTAATACACCTCTAGAGTATTTTCGCGATATTATTCGGCATTTATGCTAATACCACGGTCGATTTAAATATTTGCTAAATGGAATATTGCGATACGTTCAGCTCACGATCCACGATCACTTTCGATAAAATATCTTCTTTACTTTTCGAACCATTTCCGCTCATGTTGCTGCTTTCTTTCGTCCATTTCCTTGACGACGGCCTACGCTACCTTTCGTTCTTATAATACCAAATAGTACCATAATAGAAGTTTTCGTAACTTTTAAGTTCGTATTTCCAAAAACCTTTTGGTACATCTCTAATGTATTCCAAAAGTGACTCTCTTGTCAAATTTTAGAATTCTGGTTCATTCCATTTCTCCAATACGAAGTATTAAATTTTTAGTACATTTTAGCATTTTTCGTACCTTTTTAGTACGAATTTCCAAACCTAACTCTTGTGCCCGCTGTTTCTGCAATACAAAGTATTACATTTTTAGAACCTTCAAGAAATTTTCTTACCCTTGTAGTAGGAATTTCCAAACCTGGCCCTCGTGCAAAATATCTAGCTTTTAGATTCCATTTGGCGGTTGATTCTTGGTCAGTCCATTCATCAGTTATTTTACTAATCTTTTATGTATATACACTTTTCAAAAGTCTTTAAAAATTCAAGTTTGTAGCCGTAAAAATATTCTTTTAAAATCCATGTTTATAGCTCGGTGGTCCTTTGAAAAAATATTCTTTTTAAACCCACGTATGACACTGGATAGTCCTTGAAAATATAATCATAAAAAATACGCGTCTATATCCTGTATGGTCCTTGAAAAAAATATTCTTTAAAAATGCACATTCAAAGCTCGGATAGTCTTTGAAAAAGTATTCATAAAAAATCCGCGTTTGTAACCTGGAGGGTCCTTGAAAAATATTATATTTCCGATTAAGAGTTTTTTTTCTGGATGGTCCCTGAAAAAATATTTTTCAAAAATGCACATTTAAAACTTTTGGATAGTTCTTGAAAAAATATTCATAAAAAATCCGCGTCTATAGCCAGAAAGCTCCTTGATTTTTTTTAAAGAATCTTCGATTTAGAGTTAGGATTGTCCTTGAAAAAATATTCATTAAAAATCAGCATTTCTAGCCTGGATGGTCCCTGGAAAAATAAACTTTTAAAATTCATATCCCTTGAAAAATATTCTTTAAAACCCCACGTTTGTAGCCTGGATAGTTCTTGAAAAAATATTTCTAAAACTCACGCTTATAGCTTGGTGGTCCCTTCAAAAAAAATATTCTTTAAAAAGCAACGTTTGTAGCCTGGATGATCCTTGACAAAATATTCTTTAAAAATGCCCATTTATAACATGGATAGTCCTTGAAAAAATATTCATTTTAAAAACCGCATTTATAGTCTGTATGGTCCTTTGAAAAAAATTTCTTTAAAAACCCAAGGTTTCAGCCTTTTAGAGAGTCCTTGAAAGATAATCTTTAAAAACCAACGTTTGTAGCCTGGATGGTCCTTGAAAAAATATTCTTCAAAAATCCCCGATTAAGAGTTTGGATGGCCCTTGAAAAAAAATCTTTTAAAATCCCCATTTGAAACTCGGATAGTCCTTGAAAAAATATTCATTAAAAATCCGAGTAGCTTGGATGCCCCTTGAAAAATATTCTTAAAAAATACCAAATTTAGATTTTGGATGGTCATTGAAAAAAATATTCTCAAAATCCGCGTTTATAGCCTGAATGGTCCTTGTAAAAATATTTTTTTTTAAAAGCGCCCATTTAAAACCCGGATAGTCCCCAAGTTTGTAGCCTGAGTGGTCCTTGAAAAAATATTTTTTTAAAAATCCCTATTTGAAACTCCTATAGTCCTTGAAAAAATATTCATTAAAAATCCGAGTCTATAGCCTGGATGGCCCTTGAAAAATATTCTTAAAAAATCCCATTTAAAGCTCGGCTAGTCCTTGAAAAAAAATTCAGTAAAAATACGCGTTTATAGCCTGGATAAAAAAATGTTTTTAAAAATACCCGATTTTTAGTTTAGATGGTCCATGAAAAAATATTCTTTAAACCCAAGTTTATAGCATGGAGGTCCTTGAAAAAAAAATTCATTAAAAATTCTCGATTTATAAATCCATGTTTATATTCTGGATATCATCTATTTGTAATCCATGTTTACAGCTTGGATGATATTTGAAAAAAAAAATTATTAAAAATCATAGTTTGTTGCCTCGATGGTCCTTGAAACAAGTATTCTTTAAAAATCCCAATTTAAAGCTCGAATAGTCCTTAAAATAAAAATCCTTAAACATTCGCGTTTCTGGATGATCCTTGAAAAAATATTTTTTGAAAATGCCCATTTAAAACTAGCATTGTCCTTGAAAAAATATTTTTTAAAATCCACACTTATAGCCGGGAGGGTGTCTTTGCAAAAAAAAAAAAAAAACAAAATAAATAAAAAAATCCAAAAATTCAAATTTCAAAGTTTTTTGAAAAAAAAATATTCTAAGAAACCACGTTTATACCCTGGAAGGTCCTGGAAAATTATTTTTATAAAATCCACATTTGAACCTTGATCGATGTTAATAGCTTGGAGATCCTTTGAAAAAATATTCTTTAAAAATCCACGTAGCCTGGATGGTGCTTAAAAAAATTTCTTTAAATCCGCACTTAAAAATACCCATTTAAAGCTAGGATAGTCCACGAAAAAAATATCCCTTAAAAAGCGGCGTTTATAGTCTGGATAATCTCGGCTAGTATTTATTTATTAAAAATCCGCGTTTGTGGCCTAAATAAAAATTCCAGTGATAATCCCATGAAAAAATATTCTTAAAATCCAAATTTATAGCAGGGAGGGTCCTTGAAAAAAGATTCATTATAAATTCTCGATTTATAAATCCATGTTTATATTCTTTACTAATTCATGTTTACGGCTTGGATGGTCATCGAAAAAAAAAATTATTAAAAATTCTCATTTATTACCTGGATGGTCCTTGAAACAAGTATTCTTTAAAAATCCCAATTTAAAGCTCGAATAGTCCTTAAAAAAATATTCATTTAAACATCCGCGTTTCTGGACGATCCTAGCAAAAATATTTTTTAAAAATGCCCATTTAAAACTAGTATTGTCCTTGAAAAAATATTTTTTAAAATCCACGTTTATAGCCGGGAGGGTCTCTTTGAAAAAAAAATAAAATAAATAAAAAAATCCAAAAATTCAAATTTCAAAGTTTTTTGAAAAAAAAAAAATATTCTAAAAAACCACGTTTATACCCTGGAAGGTCCTGGAAAATTATTTTTATAAAATCCACATTTTAACCTTGATCGATGTTAATAGCTTGGAGATCCTTTGAAAAATATTCTTTAAAAATCCAC